TTGACTAATGAACAACATCATTTTTTATATTTAATTTTCTTCGCAAATGTATACATATATTCGGAGAAAAAAAAATTAAAATGTATACCATATTTTGGGACAAAGGGAATATAACAAATGTAAATACATAAACTAAACTCAACATATTTATTATTATTAATTTAACTTTATTTCTACGGACGGAATAAGATGGGGAAAAGGTAGTTACTTATATTATGGTTACCGGTTTGCTTGTCGGAAAATTCTCTTCGGAAACCGGAGTATCTTTTGTTCAGAAACCGAATTTAATTTGATCATACAAATTAACAGTTTTAACACATATGTATATATATAATGTATATGTATATGTTTTTGAATAAACTTTTAATGTCTGATATTAAAATAGGTCAAGTGTAGGTCAAATTAAGTTTGTATAGAAGCTCGTTAGGTAAGTTGAATAAGGTAGTTAACGTAATGATTGGAAAATTTTCATATATAATTACGACAAATTATTATAAATATTAATCTATAATTAAGTATAAATATAGATGTTAATTATATATCAACATTTATCACACACATTAATAAATATATAATTGTAAAAATAATATATAATAATTTCGTTTCTTCTATTTGAAAAGTATCTACATTTAAAAAATAAGTAAATTAATTCAATTTGGGCGAAAAAAACAGCAATTGAATAGCCTAAAAAAATTAATAGAAATTTTAAATGTTTGCTCTTATTTTTATAAAAATAATAACGTTTATTGTAACAGCCATAAAACGTTATCTAAATTACATACTTATTTATTATTTAAATCATATAAAAATCTATCTAATATTTATAATTAATATATTAAATTTGAACAGAAATTATGATTGTATAGATATAGTTTCATCGTAGACAAAAGTATTAACGATTGATCAGTCAAAGATAAGAACAGAAAAAAACGAAATAGTTATAGGTTAAGGTCATTAAAAAAACATATCGTTAATTAAAGTAATTACGAACTGTTTTACTAAATTATTTGCAACAATTGTTTATAAATTTTAATTTGTGAATCATTATAATAATTAATTAAATTGAAAACGGATTGTTCTTCGTGATTTTCTCTTATATTTTACAATAAATCAAAAATAATATGTTTTAAATTCTTTCTTAATAAAATATTATTAAATACTTTTTTGTGATATGTCTGAATGTCAATGTCATTCAAATACTCTATGAATTATTAATAATGCACTTATTTATTGGTAATATTATAAATATTATTAATAATTTGAGCTTTCCCTATTTAACATAGATTTTATATTATAATATCACTCATAAAGTCATAATTCATAAACAAGAAAATGCAATTTGCATGTTAAACACGGGCACACTTCTTCATCGTTCCTCCTTTTTCTCCTTCTATTAATTCTCTAATTCATTCATTTGAAGTTATAATAATCAACGAACAGAGTCCTACTTTTGCTCGAGCCGCCGCAGTTACTGTTATATATGTGTTGCCACATAAAAATGCATTCCGTATCCAATATCTCGATGTTTTCAACTAAGTATAACTTATACATTCTGATTTTCTTGCAAGCATTATTATTAATTTATAATTTTGCCCTACTCCATATCCACGACTGATCCGTTATTGCTTAAATACTGACCACCATGGTTCGTATTAACAACATGCATGCATTTGTATTTCGCCAAAGCCGTTACCTATCCATTACAAATCATCAGCTGATTAATAATAAACAAGGCAATTAGTGTGAACAAAATTGAACGAAAACAAATGTTAAACGTATAATTAACAAGCCGTAAAAATGACCCGGATTGAGTGTTTATGCATTAGATTGTCCTCTAATGCGTGGAATATCTATATGTGTGTGTCTGCACGATTCAAAACGATCAATTAAAAACAAATTTACCTTGAAATTCGGAACGACATTAAGTGTGTGTTTACATACAGGTACACGCCGATCACGTTCCGAAGATAAGTCATAAACATAATTTCGGTTCCGATGAAAACTTTAATGTCAGACACACAGAGGTAATAGAAATAAGATACAATAACAAGGACCAAGCCAAATTATCCCTCGTCTCTGATAGTGGAGACACTCTCTTCTGTTTCCAATCCGCAGCAACAGGCTCTTCCAATTGTACTCCACACAAAAAATAATGAAATAACTACAATCGTTTGCAATCTCGTTGCGCCTTTCACGATTTCATCACTCGAGATTATATTATTCTGAGTTCCGAAAGGAATTATCGGAAAACAGAGAAACGCTATTTCGAAATACACTTTCTTTTTACTGCCCATGTATTTCTTCGCATTTTAATGAATAACATCAATTATCTGGTTCCTTCTTCTAAGCACATTTTTGTCCAACAAATTTAATCTAATTAATTTCAATTAATATTCTATTTAGATATTTAAAACCCAAAGCAATGTATATTGCGTAGTAAATAAAATATATACAATTATTTTTTTGGTTTGTTAACAATATTACCTTAATTAATATATGCAATTCTTATTTACAATCTGCATCAGATTATATAACAACAAACAAATTAATAATTTTAAAATATTATTTTGATATAGTAAATCTAAACATTTGTAAATCAGTCATATCTCTTTTTTATCACTATACAACAAACTTAAAATACATAATGCGCACATACAATGTTTTTTTATTTAAATGCATTTACGGTATACAAAATTCTGTTTTCTGTATGAAAAACAATATCATGTATTCTGAATTAATAAGTTTAAAAAATGTAGCAATTGTTGAATAATTCGTACATATATATACTTTTGTTATTATTTGATTTAGAAATACGAATTTATAAAATATTATTAAGTTCGAAAATACTACAAAATCTAATATTTAACTAAACTAATTAGGTTATATAAACCAGCGTTTCTAAACCATTGACCCAATGTTGGGTCGCTTTAAATTTTGGATAGGTCTCGAAACGACAGATGCCACCTTTCGTCAAAGCGAAGAACAAACATATATGGGTCGCGCATCAGAGCAAAATTCGTGTCTTTGGCATATTTAAGGTTTTCATGTTGCCCCTAAATAGTATCCCATGGATTTCTTAACGGAAATAGGTTTATTTTGAAATAATAATTATTTGATTAATGAAAGGTTCTTTTTATTTTAAATATTTCAACTATAGAACAGTATGAAATTAAAAATTATTCTTATTATCTTCAGTAATTATACAACCATGTGGGCTTATATTTGAAATTCCTAAATTTCAAGACTCAATTGAAGCCACAGAAAAAAAATTGTAAAATGTATTTATAACAATAAAAATTAATATGCATAAAATTGAATTAATGAATTTGCTGCTTAGAATGTGGTAATTCCTCTTTCCTGGACATTTTCTAGAAAATTAAGCTACAATTTAAATGGTGGTATAATGCTCATACCACCGCCCCACTAGGCCCCTCAAAGTGTTGCAGGAAAAAAATCCCGGAACATTTTTAATAAATCCTTCGAATAAATAAGTACTTAGTATTATATAATTAATAAAAACAGTTTTTTTTTCAAATTCCAAATGAATGTGCATTTCCTTATTAAAAACGAACAAAGAATGGCGATTCAAACACTGCGCACTTAACTAATCAGAATTCATAATAATTATAATTCACTTGCATTTAATTCCTAATTAAAATGGAAATTATATTGCTCAATGTTTTATTTGCAACGCATTAATTAACCATCAGCTGCGTCCTACCATCGAAGCGTCAAGATCCTCATCGAAATGCACTTATGATTCACTGTTTTGTTAAAACAATAAAGTTGATCGTTGTAATTATAATGCCTATATTAAATGCCTGCTTTAAACGTTTTACCAATGAATTCGTTTAACATAAATTATGCAATAGCAACACATTTACTTGACACCTAAAATTTAAAATAAATATAAACAATACTGAATGAAGTTAAAACAATTATTAACAAATAATATTTTAATTTGAGAAAATAAAATAGTTATAAACTAGTTTTTAGTAATTTGAAGTACTACAATTTATATGTTCTAGGTTCATAGTTCGAGTTTGATTACAGTCACTTCTTACTAATCAACCGCGAAGTATTCTGAACCTGTAGAACGATACAACCAAGCAAGTTGACCTACCAATTGCTTTAATTGTATTGTATTTTATTACGAACAAAGGACGCATGTTTTATTTAAAAATCAATTTAAAAAATGCTATTATCTCATTTTATTATTAACAAACACTTATTTAGTTCCATGTTTCTGTTTATCTATTTTTAAGTTACTCTGAAAATTTCATAATATAATATATTTAATATAATAAGTAAACCCCCTGGTTGCAATATTTTATAAATTCACATACTTTATATCACAAAAAAAAATGAGAATCGCAACAAACACAAATCCATGATAGTTCTAGGTTTTACAATTCCTTTTCAAGAATAATTATTGTATTAATGTAACATTTTTCTATAAGCAGGCATAAAACATATTTCTACTATAAAAAAAAACTGGAACAATAGCACAGTAGTTTTGAGCTTATATAATCAACACTTATTTATAAAACATTTCTTGTTGTACCATCTCTTGTACACATTTTACTGATAATTAAGAAAACATATTTTTTCTCAACTCCACACAACTATAAAAGTTATGCAACGTTTGTTTTGATTTGTACAAGGATGAAAGCATGGTAGCATTTGCTAAATAGTAATTAACACAGTGATTCTCTAATAGAACATTTAAATGATAAATTTTCAGAAAATACCCTTGAATAGTGAACCTTGTGTTTTATACGTAAATCGTATGAGTCAATTACCAAAGTTTAAATTTTAACTTATGCAACTAAACAGTCAAATATATGTGATTTATAAACATAGTTTCAAACGATATTATATTATATCTCGTAATTACTACTATGTATTATACTAATATTATTAGTAAAATAAATAAAATAATGTTTAATAGTCTTTATAATAAATGTAGTGCCAATCGAAAATTTAGTTACTTTTTCCGAATTCTGTTGGCACCACTGTTTCCAAGATGAACGCCTGTAGATTGTGACTATTTTCAGTTCTTTTGAACAAAACAGACATCCGGTAGGTACACTGTTCTGGAGCTGTGATATTATTTTAATATTTTTTCTCAATATTAGGTAAAAGAAGTAAAAAATCTAACGCAAAATGTGAACTAAAGCATCGTATACAAAGTATAGTGTGAAAAATTTGTGAGATTTATTATATTTAATGTCGATGTCTTAAGATTTCCTTTCGTGTTATTTTTTTTAAGGTTATGTTTAACGTGTGTACATAACATAACAAGTGCTTTACCAATGTTTTTCCATGTAAGTTAATTCATGTTTTCTATTTTTTAGCAATGGCTGACGCAAAACCTAAAGCGGAAAAGAAGACCAAGACCAAGGCACCAGCCCCAGAGGCTGCTGCTGCCGTCGCTACTACCCCCAAAGTGAAGGCTGTTGCTAGACGTGCCCACCCCTTGACCAAGGGTCGTTTGTATGCCAAAGCCATCTTCACCGGTTATAAGCGTGGTCTTCGTAACCAACACGAAAACACAGCTCTTTTGAACGTGGAGGAGTGCAAATCAAAACAAGATAGCTGGTTCTATGTTGGCAAGAAATGCGTCTATGTTTACAAAGCCAAGACCAAGGCTTCCTGCCCTGGCAAGCCCAAGGGCTTCAAGACTAGGACGCGCGCGATCTGGGGCAAAGTAACCAGGCCACATGGAGGCAGTGGAGCTGTCAGGGCCAAGTTCAAGCGCAACTTGCCTGGTGAAGCCATGGGACACCGCATTCGCATTGTAAGTTATATGTTTCCTATTCACTAATTCACCATTAGTTGTTTTACTTTATTTTTGTTCCAAGTTAATGTATAAACAATCTAAGTGTTTGCTTTATTATTTGCTTTACTACATTTATTTTTACTATGATGCCTTATGACATTTGAAACCTGAAATCAAAAACTTTGATGACAGAATATTACTGATAAATTCATAATGTAAATTGTAATTGACATTTATTTTCTGTCTAAATTCTAAATTGCTCGTTTTTGTTGCAGATGTTGTACCCCTCCAGGATTTAAATTTTTACACTGTAACTAAATTAAAAGCTTATCAATAAAGTATTGGTAAATAATTTCTTAAATGTTCTTATTACTTTTATCCTACCTCCAAAAAAAATGTATTTTATAACTTTATCTATGTTTACAAATTTAAGTACGAAATTAATCAATATTATGAAAATTTATAAGAATGTTTTTCTCTTAAAAGTGTAATAATAAGTTGTCGCATTCGGTTTGAAATATCTTGCTTTGGTTACTTAGAGAAATATTTTTTGTTTGTTGGTACTACTGCATTCAGTTTGGTTTGCTTCAGTTTAGTTTTCATTGAGTGTTTCATTTATAGTGGGTTGAAGTGATATTAAATCGTAGTTCGTTATAAGATTTTTTTATTGTGAATAAATATAGTCATGGATTTGCTGGGCTCAATAATGAATTCTATGGACAAACCGCCGACGCCAAGTGAAAAAGAACGACTTGTTATGAAGAGTGAGTCGAAATTGGACCTAAATAGTTAACCTCCATAGTCATGTAAACACTTAATATTTATTTTTTTCCTGAAATATTTATTTTTAGTTTCGTTTTGAATCATATATGTATCTTTTATTTTTGTAGAAAGAAAGGAGGAGTTTGAGAAGCGCAAAACCATAGAGAAGGGAAAGTTTGAGAAATTCAAAACAGATATTGAGGAAAAGTTTAAAGTCTACTTTAAAGATCCCAAAAATGCATATTTAAAATTTCATCCTATGGACAATATCTACAGAAGTATAGTGTATGCAATCTACAATTGTTTCTTAATTATTTTTGTTACGAAGGAATATTTGTAGGCATGAAGTAGCTGAAACTATGGGATTAATATCATATGCATTTGGAACTGATGGAGTTGATAGATATATCAGGGTATATAGAAGAGACATGCCACCATGTGAGGATGAATTGGCTGCAAGACGCAGAGGAGACCCATGGAGCGAACAAATAAAACAAGAACTGATTGAAAAGGTAATGAAGCATTTTTTTATATGATGAAACAATTACATTGATGAACATTTAGAGAAAGAATGATAAAATCGAGGAAGAGGAATATTTGAAACGTAAACCAGAGAAGTTTGTACCCAATTCAAATTACAAAGATAAATATGCTCATTTGATTGGACAAGATGCAGCTTTAGAAGCTGCCAAGAAAACAGAAACAAACAAAACTTATGGATTTGGTAATTACTATTATTTTAATTAATCTGTATATTACTATAAAATTTCGTTTTAGTTCCAAGTGAAAATAAAAAAGATCAACGCTCTATAGAACAAACTATGGCTGATATTAGGGCTAAAAAACGTTTGAAGACATCACATACAAGTACTGATGCCAGTAATGATTAACTTAAATGTTATCTAACTATATTAATTTTTATGCGTATTTTTAAACGCAGTATTTAGTGTTTACAAATATTCCGTTGATGAATATTTTATGTTTCTATTAGTGGGTGAAACGCCCTGCAGTAAAGCCGTGTATTCTTTTTTTAATTTGGAGAGTTTGGCGCATTCAAATTGGTTCACATCTGAGTACTTGGTTTGGACCAAACTTAGAAGTGTGTTCAGTAAAAAGTCGGCATTATTTGTGATGAATTTACGTTGCTGAAAATAAGAGCGGAATATAAAATCATGTATTTTATATCAAAAGAAATTCTACCTCATATTGCGACTCCTTGCGCAATGATTGTTCGATGTGCCTTAAATGCGCATCAAAAACGGTATATAGCGTTTCATCAATTGAGTAAAGAAGATCAGATGTTTGTAGTTTTAAACAATCTTCGATTAATGCTAAGTAGAGCTTGGTGAAAGCCATAGTGTTTGCAGTTAATTGAAGCCAGCAGTCGCCTGTTAATCAATTTCGATGTATACATTTGTGTTTTTATGAAGTACGATTAAATTTACCAGTAACATATGAATCCAAGATCAAACCCATTTCGTTATTTTCTTGTAAAAATCTTGCCAATCCCATTTTCGACTTCAAATTTAGTGGAATCCATTTGTCATCCAAAGAGCGAACCTTGATTGCATCTATAAACTTATCACGGGTATCCTTTAAAGCTCTGGACAGAGGTGTACGAAGAGCTCCGTCGAGTTGATAACATAAATCTATACCATACGAACAAAGCTATAAAGAAAAAAGAATAACTTCATATTATTCTCCAATATTGATCAATTACCCTTTCACACTGAAGTCGTACTAAAACTACACATTCTGTTAAAACGGAAAGCGGAGTTTGAGGCATAAAAGCTTGCTTAATGAAATGCGCACTGAACAAATTAAGTTCATTACTTGCCCAAACAACGTAAGCTAAAAAGAAAACCATGTATTATCTATTATAACTTTAGATTATTTTTTACCAGAAGCACAATTCGGTGAATCAGGGAAAGCCCTTAAAAATTCTTCTGTCATGTGGCACATATTGGTAAATACGACACTTGATAGATATCGAACATAAACAGTAGTTGAGCCTTCACGTTTAACTCTTTTGCATTGAGTTTTCAGCATACTGCTGCAGAGTTTCAAAAATAAGCCACAAGATTGGGTTGACCTTCCTAATTGATTTAGCAAACGAACTGCTCTTCTAGCGGCTCTCAAACCACCTTGCAATGATTTATCTGGATTCACTTCTAATTCCTTCATTAAAACTTCTGTCAAAAGCACGTTTCTTTGCTCAACCTAACAAATAATTTTAAATAATAAATACACATCAATCTTTTTATATAACATATTTAATTACCTTTCTTTGTATATCTGCTAAAATATGGTCTGATTGATTATTTGATGAGATATATTGCATTATATAATCTTTAGCTTTTTGTAAAAGAACAAGAGCTTCTTCGAAATGCCTTTGAGCCACACAAACGTCCAATTCTTCTGGAATGTCTAGAAGCCAGTCTGGATGATTTTCCTCTTCTTCTTGATCATCAAACGCTAAAAACAATTATGTTTAAATAACAAGTTAAATTGTTTAACAATACCAACGATTTAAGGTTGAAGATTCTATAGATATTGACCGTGATGGAGATTTTTCACATATAGTCTCGCGCTTCTGTTGGTCGTGAGCCAATCTCAGTTTCTTTGCCTGTTCGAATTTATCGAGCCAATCTTTCTGCAAATACAGAATGTTATCTGTATTATTATAATATATTCATACAAATTACCTTGCTAGAATTAGATTTGCATTGAAAGACTCTTGTGTCTGGAAATGCAAGAAGCTTGAAAGCATGCTTTACATTTCCTAAATCTCTAACATTCACAACAGCTAAGCTGCCAAGTTCGTAATAAGCTTCATGCTTGTAACGTTTTCCACTATTTCTATAATTATAAAAATTGTTGCTTTTTAATAATATTGAGTAAAATATTTACAAAAAAACGACTACTTACACATTGTTAGAAATTGCTAAAAGTAAGCCCTCAGAAAATAAGAAAGCATATACATTTTTAATGGGAATGTTCTCAGCTACATCCAATTCTGATAAGAATCCTTCATGTTGTAAAATTATGTTTGGTACATCTAAAATTGACTAAGTATTCCTTATAAAATAAGACATATCAACATAAGTGATAACTTACAGCACATCCTTCAACTTTTTCTAAAACACAAGCTATTTTTTGCCTCCTTATTTCTTCATCCCTTTCCTCGCTATTCTCCTCATTGCTTTCTGCTTCAACTGCCACTGTAGTATCATCACCAAGGATAGATGTATTATACAAAGAATTTAATAAAGACCTCTGCTCAGTCAATAAATGGGACAGCTGATACATTTCACTTTCGAGATCTGATTAAATATTTGTTCAGAAAAGCAATATGACTATAAATTATTTCTATATTTCTAAATGCATTTAAAAAGGATACGAGATATTTCTTTAGCTGTATCAATGAACTGGATATAATTTTTATAGACATTCCGCTTAAGGTTTTCATTAGTTGTTTCATATAAGCCATGTATTGTCTTACGCAAACGAATCAATTCTTGGCCACCCACACAACTTTGGGATAATTCTTTAACATCTATGAGGAAATATTGTTATAAATTTATCAAAAATATAATGCTCCTGGCTTCTAGAACCTTAAACTTACATTTATCTGGATTAAAATCAGTAGAACTCAAAAGAGAAATAGATGGATCTGCCATTGTTATTCAATTGTTACAACAATCATGTATAATATTGTACTTGGTATTTTGATTTTATTGATGATAACAAATGTCAACTTTGACAACTCCCACATAAATAAACCTATGAGAATAACAGTACTGACATTGAGTTGTTGGTTGCCTATAGATTTTACGTATGATCATGTAAAGACACGTACTGCAGAAGGACACGTCAATCATGCGATAACAAACTTATCAGAGATTGAAAATAATTGGAATGGTTGGAAACGTGATACAGAATACACACCCTACGTGTCTTATTTACATCAGTATTATTTATTTATATTTTCTAATACTACTTTCATAAAACTCCAGAAATTGTATTTGAATGCCATGCAATTTGTTCCAATCCTACATAATGTCACCAACAATATGTTTTATTCAAAAATAATGTTTCCGTATTTACATGTACTAATATAATGTTTGTGTTGTCCTGAGTAGAGCAATTAGTTATATTTTTACCTTGTAGAAGGGAAATTCGGCAATATACTTATATACTTGTTGATATGCTGCTACAAATAATAATTTGTCTAAATTTAATTTACTAAAATAATGTAATTTTTGTATATAAATTGTAAATCAACTTTTGATATCCAGGTCATTGTATTATTATAATACTTTAGGCCACATACAGCATTTTAATGTTAGAGAAGCTTACTGAATAGTATAACTTTATTCAATAAAATCATAATTATTTTAGAACTGCTTTAATATATTGCTATACGCTGATTTTCTTAATATCTACTGTTTCTGTTTGCTGCAGTTTTAAAAAAATAAATAAACATAAAATATAACTACTGCAAAGTACTATTGACAATAGGTCTATCTGCCCTAAATATAATTATTTTTAGATTTATTGTGTATTCATTTTCTATTTGTTGCAAATGGAATCAGTTATTACAAAGAAGTAGTATTTACAATATTAAAAGACAATTACATCTAAATCTTTTGAATTCTTTGTTAGATGAAAATTAGCGACTTAAAAGTTTTAATTACCATTTCGATATATTAAAATGGGATCTGGGTCTATATCGCAAGCCCGACAACCGAAAGACCGTCTATTGAAATCCCAACTGTATCGAAATTCCGGCTATATCAAAATCTTGACAACCATAATCCCGACTGTATCAGAATCTCGATAACCATAAACCCGACACACATAATCCCGACTATATCAAAATCCCGACTATATCGAATTTTTTTTCAATAACATTTTGAAATTATTTCGGAGCGTAGTCAGCTTGTGTTACACTTTTATTATTAATAACAAGAAATTATTATTAATTTACTTGATTTTGTTGAATTATTCATAATAAACCTTAACATTATGAAATAATCTCAAATACAATTAGATTATTAATTATTTAAAAATGTTATTGTAGATATTTTCGATATAGTCACGATTATGGTTGTCGGTATTTTAATATAGTCGGGTTTATGGTTGTCGGGATTTCGATACAGTCGGGATTTTGACGGTCGTGATTTCGATACAGTCGACATTTCAAACGTCGGGATTTCGAACGTCTGGAATTTGATTGACGGTATTTCGTTTGTCGGGCTTGCGATTGCCAGCGATTAAAATGCCTTGTCAAGGTCTTTAAAAGTGAAATTTACTTTTAATAATTGATTTCACTTCAATTTTAATGAAAATGTGCATCGATAAATTTTATATAAATTGTTTGTACCAACTGTACTGGTTATTCGAAATTAGAAAAAACAAAAAGTACTTAAGGCAAATGATTCATAGTAAATTACAAAGTTTTGTCTAATTCTTTTTTTTTTTGCATTTAAAACCAATTTGTCTAAAAAAAAGTGCCGATACTTTGTTCCCTGCACTAAATTACATTTTTACATTCACTCTAAATTTTTAAATTCTGTTATTAACATATGGATTGAGAAATTTTATTTCAAAATCTTGTATCTGTATATACAAAATATTAAGTTTTTGTGTTGTCAATTATAAATAAAAATAAACAGATAACGGTTTTAATCTATAATATAAATATATAAATAATCCTTTTTCAGATAATCACTATTTAATCTGAGAAACATCAATTTCAAAGATATATTTCTGTTAGCTGGACCATTTGTAGGATGTAATAGGGCTATAACTTAATATTAAAAACTAAGTCTACTAGTAAGTTTTAAAATTGCATTGCATTCTAAAAATAATGGATTGTGTAAATAAAACGAAATTAACGTATACAATTGTGAACGTGAATTTTAGCACGAATATGTTTTTTTCATTTGGAATTAGTGTAAAACTAATTGTATATTTTTTAATCCTATACGAAAAAAAAGCAATGACACACAATGCACATTATGTCATTCAAACGTAAGATCGTGTAAGTTACGCATGCGTATAGGACACATGTGTGTTGGACCAATAATGTTAGCCCACGAAACTTTGTTGTTGTGTTCGTGTCTCATCTATTTAGTCCAGTCAAATTCGTTCAGACTTATCAAATATTCCGCAATGAGTGCAGAATTTCAGTGATTTTTCTTGATAAGCGTTTATATTTATACGTGCAATGATGAACAGTATATTCGACACGATGTTAGTGAACAATAATTTAGTGAAAAGAATAACCCCATGTATACTGTTATTACTATTAGAACATATATTAGGTGGTGAGCACAAGTCCGAAAAGTTAACCTCCAAACGTCAGAACTAATTGTTTCTTCTCCTTTGCAGTATGTGAAGCTGTTTCACAGGCGGAAATAAGTAATCACTTAGAGTTAGGCAAGCAATTCTTAGCTAGAGGACAATTATCCGATGCCTTGACACATTATCATGCAGCTGTTGGTAAGTTCGCACAACCTAATTTTTATAAATAGACAATTCTAAAAGCTTTGCTATTTACAGAGGGGGATCCAAGGAATTATCTGACATATTTTAAAAGGGGAACTGTTTATTTGGCCCTAGGAAAATCGAAAAATGCTCTCAGTGATTTAGACAAAGTGCTTGAGCTCAAACCAGATTTTACAGCTGCAAGAGTGAGCCGTGGTGAGGTTCATCTCAAACAAGCCAACTATGATTTAGCTCAACTGGACTTTTATAATGTGGTAAGTACTTTATTTCTATTATAATCCAAAGACACTATTCAAACATCAATATTTATCTATTTGCAGCTGCAAGTGGATCCATATAATGAAAAAGCCAATGAGTTAATACATAGAATTGATCCAGCTAAGGAGAGAGAACAGTTGGCAAAATATTACTATGGCAATAATGATTATAACAGTGCTATTCACACTCTGTCTGAAGCAATTGAGATCAGTCCACAGGCAGCCAGACTTTATGAATTAAGATCAGAAATGCATATGGAAAATAATGATTTCTTATCAGCTGCAGCTGACATTAAAGCAGCAACGAAATTGCAATCAGACAACACAGATGGCTACTTTAAGCTGGCAAACTTGTTATACCAAATGGGCCATGCAACAGATGCCTTAAAGTCTATAAGAGAATGTTTAAAATTGGACCCAGAGCACAAGGACTGTTTCCCATTATATAAAAAAATCAAGAAAGTTGAGAAATTCTTAACTCAATCAGAGACTTACAAAGAAGAAGGCAACTTTGTGGAATGCATTGCTTCTGCTGAAAAGGCGTTCAAAAATGAAAAGGATGTTCAAATGATCATTTTGGAATCGCAAAAGTTACTTTGTCATTGTTACATGAAGGATGAACAAACTTCTGAAGCAGTCAGTGCTTGTTCTGATGTGATAAACGTCCAACAAGACTTAAATGTTTATTGTGATAGGGCTGAAGCCTACATTATGTCAGATCTCTTTGATGATGCCATAAGGGATTACAAATCTGCATTAGAAATAGATCAGAACTTTGAAAGAGCCAAAGAGGGTTTACAGAGGGCACAGAAACTGCAACAACAGAGTGAGAGGCGAGATTATTATAAGATCTTGGATGTAAAAAAATCCGCTACGAAAAAAGAAATTGTTAAAGCATACAGGAAACAAGCACAAAAATGGCATCCAGATAATTATCAGCTAGATGAAAAAATGAAAAAGATTGCTGAAAAGAAGTTTATAGACATTGCTGCTGCCAAAGAGGTAAGTTTTGTTTTGCCTCCTATTGCTTTAAGCGCTTTTGTTACATTTCTTTATCATACAAATTGGGGAAATTGAGCTAATCAAATATCAAATGTTATCAGTTTTATACATACATATTTTTTTTTTTTTTGTAATCACTTTACTTTTGTTACGTTGGTGTGTCATTGTAATTTGTATCAAGAACAAAATTATTGTAATGAATGAATTCAGAAACATGAAAATAGGTGTTAAGATGAATGTTGGTTTGTCCGTTGCAGGGTCAAATAGATGACTGCTCATGCAACGTAGATAGCCTTGACAATTTTAATAACAACAAAATCTACCCGAGATTGCAAAGTCTGCTCACAAAAGACTATTTCAGATTTTACAAAGTAAATTTGAAGAAAGATTGCCCCTATTGGGCGGATGACAGTAGATGCGCAATGAAATACTGTCACGTGGAGGCGTGCCACGAGGAGGACATTCCTGCGGGACTGAAAGCCGTCGTTGCACCACATAATAAATATACGATGGAGAGTTGCGAGGACGATGTTGAGCTTGGTTTTCTTAATAAAACATTGAGCGCCAAAGTCATAGAAGATTTTGTATTGTGGGAAGTATACGACGATTCTCAAGATAATTTTTGTATAATCAATGAGAACGACAGCGAGTCTGAATATGTGGATCTACTATTGAATCCGGAAAGGTACACCGGCTATAAAGGAGATTCGGCACACAGAATTTGGCATACCATTTATATGGAGAATTGCTTCAGACCAACGCGAACCAGTTTTCACGCTTATATTCAAAACGATAAACTAAGCGGCATGTGTTTGGAAAAGAGAACATTTTACAGGGTAATCTCTGGTTTACATGCCAGTATCAATATTCATTTATCAGCAAAATACCTCTTATCGGAGAAGAAAGGTTTAGGCCTTATATCAACACCGATATGGGGTAGGAATGTAGAGGAGTTCCACAGAAGGTTTGATCCCGAGAACACGGACGGAGAAGGTCCTAATTGGATAAGGAATTTGTATTTCCTTTACTTAATAGAATTGCGGGCAATCGTCAAAGCTTCGCAATATCTGCAGAAGGAAGAATTCTACACGGGTAACGAAGCAGAAGATTGGGATACGCAGCTTGCAATCAAGGATTTGTTGAATGTGGCAAATCAATTCCCAAATCACTTCAATGAACGAGCGATGTTTGCCGGCGGAGATGAAGCTCAGAAATTGAAGTTAGAATTTAAAAACCACTTCCGGAACGTCTCCAGTGTAATGGACTGTGTGGGATGCGATAAGTGCAAATTATGGGGAAAACTTCAGACACAGGGTCTGGGCACGGCTCTTAAGATATTATTTTCTGGTAAATTTGATGACCATAATACTCCCGACAATTACATTCATAATTCCAACAAAAAAGACTTCCAGTTGCAGCGTAGTGAAATAGTTTCATTAATAAATGCCTTCGGTAGACTATCGGAAAGTATTTTCGAATTAAGTGAATTTCGTAAATTTTCTAGCTGATTAATAGTTATTATTTATATAATTACAAAGAGAGTACTTATACATCACTTTTATTATTTTTCTAATTATAATTTAATACGGGTAAATGGTGTTTAGCATATAAGAAAATTATGTAAATACTTGTTGTGTAAATATTTATTAAAAAATATATATGTGCTGAGATTTAATAAATTTGTTTATTTAACGCCTTCGCAATTTCAATTACATTCATGGTATATTTGCTCAATTTCCCCATTATTCATATACATCAGGAATAGTTTTATGAACAAATATGTGTAAGGGTGTATGATTATGTTGTATCTTTTTTAGGTGTTGACTGATGAAGAAAAACGGCGACAATTTGACAATGGCGAGGACCCATTGGATCCAGAATCTGGTAAAGGAGACATGCCAAATTTCCACCAATTCCACTCGTTCCACGGCAGTCCGTTCCAATTTAAGTTCCATTTTAATTAAATCAATTTTACGAATATTTATTTTCCTTTCGATTACGTCTCTTTTATACAATTATTAGTGATTTAATCTGAATATTGTCGATACAGTCATCCATCAATGAAATTGCTTTCCACGGATATTGAAGCGAACCACTTGCGTTACACGCAACAAATTGAATTTGTCATTTAAAAATGAAAATACGTAATATGAAATGTAATGGATGGAATTTTTAAAGTTTCTGCTTAAATTATTAATTCTTGTCTACTAATTCTAAAGGAGACTGCTTAATCTTATTTTGTTTCGTGTACAATTGAGTCATGATTATTATGTACATATTATCATTTTCTTTTTCTAATAAATTATATTAATTTATGATTTATAGTTGAATACAAGATACATTTATTTGAAACCAAAAAAAGCAAAATGTACATTAAATGAATATAGTTAAAAACGGTATATTTTTGTTTATGTTATTGTTATCAGTGATTTTATCTGTCGTAGACAGCTGCTTGAGCAGTTATGAAATTAAGAAAAAGTCTGTAGTAAAAGTCATTTATGTATTTACTTTAATTTATACAATAATTATTTTAAAGTAAATATTTTTAAAAGGAATTGATTTCTTGTTAATGATGATGATAACGTGACAGAAAATCCATAGAAGTGGAAGTGTATGTTGGCTACACTGTTGATGGGGGCGGATCGGATTGTATAGGACTGTCAAAAGCTGGTTGTCAAGTGCAGCTAGTGCTTTGTCAAAGTTGACAAGTGGTAAAAACAACATAATAAAGGAGTGAGGAAAAATGGCAGCGGAAATAAAGCCTGCTACACAATCAAATGACAAGTTTTGTACCAGCAAGAAGCCGGCTTTGTTGGCAAAATTAGAGGGATGCCATGACGAAATCAACGCAGCCGTAATTATACCGGGTGAGGAGGGCATTATCAGTGTCTCCGATGATAAGTAAGTGAATTGCGATGTTATGATTCTTAGCTGTACTTGTTTCTTTTCATTTTTTTAATCTAATTTTCCTATATGACAAACAATGTTGTTCATGGTCATTCTGTTTTATACATAGAGGTAGTCCTTATCTGTTATCCAGCTGTGAACATTCCCATCATATCAATTATTCATCTTATTAATACACAGTGATTACATTTAGATGAATTGTTTGAACAAAATATTTAATTTCTGAGTCAGTTTTTTTTGTACAATTATCTCATGTTTCATGATAAGACAATTGAGTGTTTGGAATTTTCATTGGACTTATCTTTATCATTTGTTTTAGGACTGTCAGAGTATGGCTGAAAAGAGATTCAGGCCAATATTGGCCAAGTATTTGCCAGTACATGCCAAGTGGTGCAACATCATTATTCTATACTGTGGAAACAAGACAATTGTTTATTGGCCAAGAAAATGGTACTGTGTCTGAATTTTCATTGGCATCTGATTTTAACAGGATGATGCCTGTGAGGGAGTACTTGGCTCATCAAGGCAGAGTTACTGAAGTAATTTTTGCTCTCAATTGTGAATGGGTGCTGAGTGTAAGCAGGGACAAAACATTTTCTTACAATTGTACACAAACTGGAAGAAACATTGGTATTTTCACTGCTGAAGCCTGGTGCACTGCTCTACAGTATCCTTTAATTTTAATGGACATTGAAGAATTTGACATACTTGTTATATATTTCTTAACAATAATATTAGGTTTGACTCTCAATCCAAGCATGCATTTGTTGGTGATTATTCTGGGCATATTACCATGCTTAAGTTGTCCAACAATGGGGCTTCTGTGGTTACTACTTTGAAGGGTCATTCTGGATCAGTTAGAACTTTGGCCTGGGATATGGATAAGAAAATGCTTTTTAGTGGCTCATTTGATCAGACTGTAATTGTTTGGGATATTGGAGGTCAGCAAGGAACTGCATATGAATTGCAAGGACATCATAACAAGGTCTATATATACATTGCAATTTATCTTAAATGATTCTAATTTAACGAGTTCCATTTCTAGGTGACTGCATTATGTTTTTTAAATACAACGAGGCAGTTGGTAAGCGCCGGCGAAGACAATGTCCTTGTTTTCTGGGACATGAGCAGATCGAGACAGGAGACCCCAGAATGGATCGAATCGGACACCTGCCAGATGTGCGGGCGCCCGTTCTTTTGGAATTTACGAGCCATGATGGATCAAAGGCAATTGGGTCTAAGACAACATCATTGTCGCCATTGCGGCAAGGCCGTATGCGATAAATGCTCCACAGCTCGTTTGGCCATTCCCAATATGGGCTTCGAATTTGCAGTGAGGGTGTGCGAACCCTGCCATATTAATTTAAAGGATGTGGAGTGAGTTTGAACCAGTCGCATCAGTAATATTTGAGCATTCATTATTTGTATTTGCAGTCGTCCTTCCTTGGCCACATTCCATGATGCCAAACACAGTATATGCGCAATGAGTTTGGATGAGACTCGCAAGAAGTTGGTGACAGTAGGTCGCGATAAGCTCATAAAAATCTGGGACATCTCCGCTTTACTATGAAAGGGTTGTTGTTTTAACTGTAATTCTTTTTTGTTTATGTTATATCAGACTGGATCTTATCAACTACTGTATTGGAATGTGATTCACCAAATTAAGATATGTCTAATTATTAGAGTGTGCTATTGTTTAATTTGTAAAGATTTATGAATATTATTACTATTATATTTATATTGTATAGGTTTCATTGAGGCATTTCCAATTTCAATGGAATATTATTTACAACATATTTGAAAGTTTATATGTAAATAACAACTTAATTTTATCATTATTTTGTCAACAACTTAAGGACTAATATCTAAAATGGCTTCAATAAATGGAATAACATCTGTTGCATTCGAAATAATAAACCGTGGCAAAGGATTATTGTTTCCTGTACTAAATTTGATGAATTGTTATAGTATAAATTTAACCATTTCATACTAATTTTTATTGCAGGTCATGTAATTATAGCTGAAACTGGATACATTCCTGTATTACATTGATATGTATTTCTTTTATGCAATTATTTTCAAACAAATCAAAACAACTCCTACTAATATATGTATCCTGCCTTAAGGTTTATAGTTATATTAGAGGGATTTTCTACTAAATCTTATTTTTTAATTTAAAAACATTGATATTAAATGGATAATGTTTCCCATTTAATGTAATCAATTTATCGTGTCAGTAGAATCGATATATAATGTTTTTAATAACCTATAGAACTAGTTAAACCTTTTAAAGTACATTTTTATAATGATTACTAGTTACAAGAATATTATTGTTTAATTAAAAAACAATCTGTATGCGTTGAGCTGTAATTTGTATAAATATGCAATGTTAAAACTTATATTATAAAATAAAAGATAAATCGTCTAAGTTCTGCAAAATATCAATTGAAATTGGTTCTATTTTATACGAGTTATTAAATCTTTCAGCTTGATACATATTAACTGGTGAGTTATCCTTATCTTTTCTTCAATAATAACTATGTCTAAATTTAAGTTGGTAGACGTGTTTTTTTTGACAAAAATGTCATTTTTGAAGGCAAACTTCGCGCATATTGCTTTCATCACCAAAAGACCAAAATATTTTGATGTAGAAAATTTTAAATAAAATCCAAAGAAATGTCCGTGTTTGAGAAATTGCGTCGTTTCGACGCTTATTCTAAGACCATGGATGATTTCAGGATTCGAACCTATGGGGGGGCTGCAAGTAATATTTTTTTTAATAATTTAATTAGTAGTGGTAATTACTTTTTTAATATTTCAGTTACTATAATCAGTATAATAATAATGGGATTATTATTTTGGGTAGAATTAGTTGACTTTGTTACCCCTAATTTATCAGAAGAATTATTTGTTGATACAACTCGGAGTCCTAATATTAATATTAATTTAGATGTAATTATACCCACAATATCTTGTGACTGTAAGTTAAATGTTTAATTATGTAAAAAAAGAAATATTTGCACTAAACATGTGTATTATAGTTTTAGCACTAGATGCAATGGATTCATCAGGTGAACAACATTTAGAAATAGATCATAATATATATAAACGTAGATTAGATCTTGAAGGGAATCCAATTGAAGAGCCTCAAAAAGAGGATATTACAATTCAAACAAAAGAAGTTACAGAGGTATTGTTCATAAATATTACAAAATTTTATACTTACTATATGAATTTAAGGGCACCAACTCAACAGAAATTCTTTGTGGAAGCTGCTATGGTGCCAGTATGGATCCTAAGAGGTAAATATTTGTGATAACTCCAATTGCAGTAATTACATACTAATGTTTTAGATGCTGTAATACTTGTGATGAAGTTAGAGAGGCATATAGAGAGATGAGATGGGCATTAGATAATTTGGAAAATATTACCCAATGCAAGGATGAGAAATACAATGAAAGATTAAAAACTGCATTCTCACAAGGTTGTCAGATATATGGTTCTTTAACAGTGAACCGAGTCAGTGGTAGTTTCCACATTGCACCCGGAAAGAGCTTCAGCATTAATCATATGCATGTACATGATGTACAACCATTCTCATCAACTGTTTTTAATACTACCCACACCATTAAACATCTGTCATTTGGAGCTAAATTAGATGGAGATGCTCACAATCCATTGAAAGATACCTACAGTGTTGCACATGAAGGTAAGACATTAGTTTTATCTTTTATTAGGTTTTTAATTGTTTTAAGATGAAACAGCATTTAAATCATTTAATTTTATTTAAATAAGAAAAATTAAAAATATCTACAGTGTAATATTAGCGTAAAAATCACATTACATCCGTTTCGCTTTTTTTAATACTAAATATTAGTTATCAGTACATCATGCTAATTAGTAACAATTGCTTTTCAACAAAATCCCATATGATTTCATATTTCACACTAACATCTCAACCCAGATCCAATTGCCAAGAAGGTGCCAAACGAACCACCTCCTTGAACCATTACTTTACCAACTGTATTTACTAACTCCCTTCCTCTCAACCCAGTCCTGAAACAATGCAGCATGACAAAAAGATACATCAAAAGGTTATGTAATGCTATACCTGAGTGCTGAAAAACCACCAAACAAGGCACCACTGGCCATTCCCACACAAAAACCTAAGAAGAAACCCATTTTCATCTTATCAAAGCATGAGGGACCCTGTTGTTGATATACACCTCCTGGTACAGGCATTTTGCATCTAGAATATCAATACACATTAATAACCATAGGCTTCGAACACGCTATACTATGCTTACGTAATATTTTCTATATAAGCTATCGATTGAAATGTATGTTATTGCGGATTGTAACAACTCTGGGAAATTTGGACATTAACATGCGGCCATATTAACTTTTCTTTAGTGATGTCAATGACATCTGTCATATGTGCATGGCGGCAAATTTAAAATTGTATTTTGTTTGGAACTTTTATTAATACTTTTTCCTTCTAGGTGCAACAATGTTTCAATACCACATAAAGATCGTACCCACGTCTTACGTAAATATACGAGGGGAAATTATCAATACAAACCAATTTTCGGTAACTAAACATCAGAAGGTGATATCAGTTTTAAGCGGGGAATCCGGAATGCCAGGGGCATTCTTTCAGTATGAACTGTCTCCTTTGATGGTTAAATTTACCGAGAAAGAGAGGTCCTTTGGTCATTTCATTACAAATCTGTGTGCCATCATTGGTGGCATTTACACAGTCGCTAGTCTTATAGATGCAATGGTTTATAGATCTGTGCAACTCATTCAAAAGAAGATAGAGTTGGGAAAATTAAACTAAGAATAAATTTCTTCATAATATTTTATTTATAAGCTTTTTAAGAATATGTTGTAATCTTCTATAGGGCATTTGCAGACCTGATCACAGAACACAAGATCATTACCTGAAACCAAGGTACCAATTGATATATAGCCTGGTTCTTTTGGATTGAATTGATCCAAACCAAGTTTCTTAACAAACATATGTCTCTGTTTTAATCTGAATGGTCTGCAGTTCAGAACTTCTGGTATTTTGGATATTGTTTCTGTGGAAATTTGCATATCCCTATGTAAGTATTCAAAAGTTTCTAACATATTTTGTTGTGCTAAAAATGGAAAGTAAAATTATAAAAAAATATGATTATTAACATACACATACCTTTCATGAATATGTTTGGTTTCTTTAATAATATTTCCTTTCTCTCATCATCTGTGAAACCCATCTCTTCTTTTAAAACAAAAGCATTTCTTTTAATATGTTTAAAACTGTATGTGATCAGTTTAGGTTGTTGTACTGCTAATTGACGAATGTCATTACCAGTTAAGGCAAATTCGTTTTGAAAGAATCCCAATCTATTATCTATATCTTTAGTGCTAAAACAAGAAATATTTAACAGGTTTTTAATTTAGAGATACAAAATAAAAACCTAAACATCAACCAATATGGATTATGGCCTATTATTCTGATAATCATATCATTTGTAAATTTTTTTGAACTCAAATAATTTATCCTTACTTGCATATTTTCTAGGCTTTGTTGAAATATATAAGGATTTTTTGTAATTAACCTGCCAACAATATCAATTTCCAATCCTAACTCATGCAAGAATATAATATGATTTTTAACATCTTTCTCAAAATCTAATCCTAAGATGTATTGTGGTACAGTTACTTTTTTCTCTAGTCTGTGTAAATCAACACCAACTTTCAGTAGTTCTTGCAATGTTACAGATTTATTTACATAAGCTGCAAAATTAAATGTTGGCTTCAGGTAAGGAGCAACATGTGAAATGTCTTCATCACATTTATCCAACACTGAAGACTGTTCATGCGGAATTTTTGCAATTCCATTGAATGGGATCAAGTCATCCTGTTTTTGCACTATCAAATCAGAGAATCTCTGAATTAGATTTGTTAAACCTAGTGGTCTATTTTGGCACAAACTGCTTAATTCTCTGCGCAACATTTTTATAAATTGAGACTATTTACATTTCTTATATTAATATTGTAGAAGGTTATGTTTAGTTTAGTTCTGTGAAATTCCGTTAGAGAAATATATTCTGTAGTTATTATAGGTTATAAACAATTTTTGATTTAAAAGAAGTTTAAATATTAAAATGAGTAAGGATATAGCTAATAAGGCATGGAATATGATGCGAGCCCTCCCAAGGGTTAATTTGGCTAATATTAGGGACAATCCAGGTACTCGTTTGGTAAAATAGAGTTTATAACCTAAAATCTTGTTATATTATTATATTCTTGTATTTTAGGGAAAGAAACGGGGTAGAGCACAGCATGGTGGTGATAAACATGGTGATGGTAATAAGGGCTCAGGGCAAAGGCAAAACTTTTTGAGAATTGGTTATGAGACTGGTAATAATCCATTCTATTTAAGATTTCCACATGAACCTTATTACAAGGGACACCAGTAGGTTTTGAATCTTCTTGCTTAATTAATGATATTAACATAATGTATATATTGTAGCTTGAAAAGGCAATATCCACCAATGTCATTGAGTAAATTACAATTGCTCATAGATACAAACCGATTAGATATTAGCAAACCAATTGACTTGGTGAGCTTGTTAAATACTGGATTATATAAGCTCCATCCAGATCAGCGCCAGTTTGGTGTGAATTTAACAGATGAGGGTGCTGATTTATTTAAGGCAAAGATAAATATTGAAGTGCAATGGGCCAGTGAATTGGTTATAGCCGCAGTTGAGAGGGCAGGTGGTGTCATAACCACATCTTATTATGATCAGCACAGTTTACAGACAATGTTAAACACTAAGAAATTTTTTGAAAGGGGAACCCCAATACCAAAAAGGATGATTCCACCACCAGATGCAATTGAATATTATTCAGATCCCTCAAACAGAGGATATCTGGCTGATCCAGAGAAAATGTCACAAGAAAGATTGGTATTGGCTCAGAAATATGGCTATGAATTACCTCAAATCGAAAATGACAAGGATTATGGAATGTTGATTGAGAGAAAAGATCCTAGACAAATTTTCTATGGACTTCATCCAGGTTGGGTAGTCAATTTAAGGGAAAAGGTTATTCTCAAACCACAGGAGGAAGAATTATTGCAGTACTATAATTCGTAGATGATTGGAAATTTGTTTAGTTTTAATTTATTACTTAATAATAAAAAAATAAATACATAAAATCAATGGGGTTTATTTTTATTTTATCTTTATTGAAATAAAATCCTCATTTAGGTAAAAGTCAATATGACTAAGGGAAGAATATAGCCAGCCCTTATATATTTATTAATTAAAAATATAAAGTGGTAGACACAATATAATAATTACAATTTTTTTTCGTTTTTCTTTATCATTACAAATAGTAAACATATTTAATTTCATATTAAACATTTACATTTGATTTCAAGTGTTTATTTATATACCAGTTTCGTTTGTATATTATACATATATATATATATAATATATTCATTAATCGAAATAAAACAAGAGCGTAACGACAAATTACTTATAATATTTTGACAAGGCACGCAAAATAGTTTTAGAATAGTTCTTTTTTTTTTCTTTTTTCATTAGTGTATTTTTCTTTGGATGGAAAATCTATTTTAGAATTATTTTATATGTATATTTTAATATATTTATATTATACTTAGGGCAACATGCAAAATTTGATTCTTATGATTACTTATTTTAATATATAATATTAACTATATATATGCTCGTTGTCCTCATTTTTAGTTGTTGAGGTTCAATGAATTTCTGCCATTGTTTCATTTAAATAGCACCAAAAAAGAAAACGTTTTTCTTCAACATTAAAAAATTACTTAACGAAATATAACCAAACGATGCGCTTTTTTTTTTATCTAAAACGATTAATTAAAAATTGTACTACTATTGAAATATAATTTTCAATTAATTAAAGTTAATTCAACGAAATGCATCATTTGATATAAAAGATCTATATATTCTTATATTTTCCTCTTATAACAAAACTATGTATTTTTTTTGTATATAAACAAATACAAGATATATACAAGCAAAAATGTTTTGATACAAGTATGTATATATTACTTAATTATTAATTTGCCTATATATCGAGTTATACAACAGGTATATAAATACATTAAAATTAGAGATATATTGCTTGCTTAACTTGTTATGTCGGGCTGGGACTAAAAAGTACGTAAGAATAAAAATATTTATTTAAGACTATTTAAGCGATCAAAAATACTCTCATATTAATCGTTCATTTGGAATGGACGAAAACGAATTCGACCGAAGAATTATTTCATGTTTAATAAAGATGTATTTTTGAAGATGAAATGGAGGCGAAACTATAAAATAAGAAGATAAATATACGTCTTAGAGAAAAATTAGAAACAAAACAAGCTTAAACAAACAACATATAGAATAAAATCTGAAAACTCCAACAGCAAAAAACTGATCCCAAAAACAATCATATAATTTATATGATAACAATATTATTAAATAGACATAGATATACATATAGAGAGAGAAAGAGAGTTAGACGAAGACATTCTTACATCAATATTACATTTTTTTTTGTTGTTTCCTCAATATATAATAAATCGTCGTGTAAAAAGACAGAAACTGTCTGTGTAAAAATATATCTTATATTTAAAATTGTCTAGTTTATTAGTTTTTATTTTTCTTCTTGTAACCCTAAGAATTTCTATGATAGGCTTTTTAGATTTTTTTTAGTTTTGTTTTCTTTGCTTTTTCTAGACACGTTTCTTGTCAGTATGCGTTAATTTTCGGCAGGCCAATTTTGGATGCACTGCTATGTTAGCATTTTGAAGAACATAATGGCCAGGGAGATGTTCACGAATAGAATAACAATTACCAGCTGTTGGCGCGAGAACCAGTCCTGAAACATAATACAAGTTAAATGTCCTTTAAAGAAGCTCCACTAATGTTCCTGAAACGAATTTCGATATAAATATAAAGTGACAGATTATACATTGTATGTGCAGGGCGACATCAATTCAACACTACCAATAAGTTTCTGCAATAATAGATCATCGCGGTTAAATTAAATATGGTAATTTGTTGCAATAATATAAACACTAATGGATTAATACCAATTACGCGGTTTTACTAAATCTCAAATTAAATTGATATATTATTTACAAATAAAACAATAATGTTAATAATAATAACGATTCATATAATTATTTGCAATTTGAAATCTTACCAAAATATTTATTTTCTAAACTATTTTCTCTTGTGCTCAAATGAGATGATTCAATTGCAGAACAATTCAAAGCGCGCATTAGTACGATGCCAAACGCGTTATGCAATCGGTAAACAATTTAATTTTAACGTTCGGCCAAATATTCGGTTCTTTTTTTATATAAATGAAGGCAATTTGCAGATATTCTTGATTTTCTAATAATTACTTAGTGCATAAAAGAAATTTGATTATTATGATTACTATATATCTGAAAGAGCGTATTTTATTTTTAATGGTCTATTTTAATCTTTCATGCAATTTCTTAAATTATATTTTAAGTTTTAGTTATAAATATAGAATCCAATAAGAACGAGTCCATTCATTGTGACTTGTTTTGTTTGGCTTCGAATTTGATTTGAAAAATATGAAATACAAAAACAAGCGCGTCGTTTTTCTTCAAAGTGAATATAAAGTTATATATAAAGTAAATCTTATTGGTAGATTGAATGGAGATGTCAAGATTTTCTAGTTTATTTATTAGACAGATATAGTTATTCTAAAACTAGAAGAAGTGTTTGTGTAGGACAATATCGTTGTCATTGCAAATCCAGTTTACTCTGTGATATCACTTCGCTAAAATTAGTCTCGGCCTCGGCATAGTCCGTTACGCTATATTCGGAGTAACAGAAATATCATTTAAAACAGAATTATACGAAATATAGTGTGTATAACGAGATAGACAGACAGATAGATTTAGAGCTAGAGTGAGTATGTATATGTGTGAGTGTGTGTGTGGGCGTGTGATAATGTCTAACAAGCATGCCGAAAAACATCTAAGGCATTAGAGTTATTTATTTATATCATTTAGTAAAGCGTTAAAATAAAATGAAAGTAAAATTATAAATAAAGACACGAAGCTGGACTGAACCTAGGTAAAACAATAACAAACAAAATAATAACGTGTGATCCTACATAACACAGCCAATCACATTAAATAAACAAAGGAAAATAGATTGCTATTGAAACTAACATACCTATTGGTTCTCTGTTAGGCGTATCAAGAAAACAATTACGGATAAGTCGGTTTGTTAGAGAGAAATAAAGTAGTAGTCAAAGTAAAATAAAACCTAGGTAAAGTCAAAATCAAAACTAAAGGTAAAAGTGTGCAAAAGGCTTAAATTTAAAAGGTATTTGGTAGTAATTTGGAGGGGATTAAATATCAAAATTATTAAAATATGTTCTTTTTTCGACCTTTAAGTGGGGGGTGGATCAATTCTTATATTTTGGGGGTAATTAATGTACCTTAACTTGTGGACTGACTAAATATAACAAGGGATTGGCACGTAGTTTCTCTTTTTCATCGGCCTGTCTTCGTACTTCCTCTCGTCGCGCAGAACCCAGCGCTGACACCTCTTCCCTGGACATCGGACCAGTTGCCCTGGGTAGCTCTTGGAAGTCGGGTAATGACTTTTTGCGTGATAGACTCGTTTGAGGTATTACGTTCTAAATTGGAGAGAAGTTTTGTTTATTACAGTGATGCTTGTTCTTTGGCTTGACTATTGTTGCGAATTTTGGAGTGGGAGAGGTCGTGTCCTAAAAAAACTATACCTCGACTGGAGGTGTATCGATCCAACTCTCGGAGGCTCGACGAGCCATAAGAGCAGGAGAATACATGAGATCCTCCTCGTCATCTTCGTCATTCTGATACCACAGCATGTTGCGCACAGACTAGCTATATTTACCAGCTAACACATTTAGAAACACGACCTCCCCTCCCCTCTCACTTTTAGCGCGTTTCGAAATTGGATCGGGGCCACTAACCTTGGGAGCAGCAGCAGTAGCAGCAACAGCAGTGGCATTTCCACCAGCAATAAATAGGCTTTCAGTCCTCTTCGGCTGATTCGGAGATGGAATGATGTCCTGACCTAGGTTCTTTTTCTTGATCAGAATTTCCTCGAACGGTGGTTGCTGCGGTACGGCAGATCCGTTTCCTTCCATTTGCGGCAATTTGGCACTAACCACTGAACCGTTCCTCATAGCAGGAGGAGCTGGCGTGGTCCCCCTAATTGCAGATGGCGCTCTGGCAGTTCTGTCTGGGGTTACTGATGGTCTCGCTGTTCTATCTACTGATGGTTGTCTTGAACCCATGCCTCCGCCCATCCTTCCAGTCGCTCTGGAGTATCTGTCCACGCTCGAATCTCTACTCGGTGGTCGCTTGTAGTGATCAAAATGATCGATTGAAGATTGCTGCGATGTTGTACCCAAATATGGACGGTCTCCCGAGATCCGTCTGGATGCTCTTGGTAAGGCACCTGGTTGCGAATGGTCTATCGACGAAATGCTTTGCCTTCCTCGTATTGGCGTTGCTTCCTTTTGAAATTGTTTACTCAAAAGTTGGTGGTTCATTTCATTCAAGTGGTCTTTCTTAATTTCTATATTATTATTTGGTAGTGAGGTCGTGGGATTATTGTGGTAAGCTTCAGTTTGATTTGTAGTATTATTGAACATTGGCTTCTTTGGCATTTGATTTGATAGCAAATTTTGATTTAGCGGAATTTCGTTCGGTATTTGATTTGGGATCTCGTTCGTTGGATTATTCTGTAACGTGTCTTTTTGGATAATCGCATTGTAATCACCGTACTTCTCGCGCATTTTCATTTCCTTGGCTCTCAACCTTTCCAAGCCCGGCTGCTTAAAGTCAGGTGCGTACTTCTTAGCAACGGTTTGAGCAATATTTGAATCCTCCCTGGCGCAAGCGGCCGCCTTGTCAGAAGCCTCTGCCTTTCCCCTGGCCGTGGCCGTTCTTGATATGGCGATATCCGCCTTCTGCATAGCAATCTTGGATGCCCTTTGTGCGGCATTGACCGCACCCTCTATCCGCTCTCTAAATTTTGCCGATCTCATCAAGAATATGTGCTTCTTCTTTGGGTTAGTTATGAGTACGTTGTTCTTGTATTTGCCTTCCTCCTTCTCACCGTTGCTGAAAGTAGTTACACCGTAACCATATTTTTTATTGTTGAACCATTCACCTTCGTATTTAAGTCCATCTGAACGTTCACTAACACCATAACCAGTGCGCTTATCGTTTTTCCACTCTCCCATGTATGTCTCCTTAACGCTTGGATCCATTTGTTCGTCCTGAAATGAAACAGTAAAATTTTGTTAAACAAAGTATTCGTTACAGACTATGTGACCTTACTTCAACGACGAAACTAGCATTTGAATCCGACGGCACTGAAGCGTTTGTCATTGCTGATTGGGCAGAATCGGTGCTAACCCATGAAGCCGACGAAGCCGTGGAACGGATGCTTCCTGTTATTCTCTTCTCTAAGTCCCCGGTGCTTCTCTGTTTCTTCAATAAATTCTGACAAAGCAATCATTTTTCGTTAATTCAATTAATCCACTTGCAAACAACTTACTGAAAACAATCCTCTCTTAATATTACTGGATCCCAGTGATCGTCTTCTAACAGCCGGTTCATTCGAATTCATTTTCAACACGAAACCGCCTCTGGAATCGTCGACTCTTTTGTCCCTCTTATCCGAAGGTTCTGGCCCTGCTCCTCCGGCTTCATTGCTTCTCAGGGATGTCATAGAAGCCCTGATAGCTTTGCTCGTTCTGTACTTGGAGGCCTTTCCAAAGGGTGCGCTATTCCTGACACCGTACCCATGCCTCATCCCCCTCATCCATTGTCCCTGATATGTACCTGCAACAAAAACACGACCCTTGTCAAAATAAACCACATCATAATAATGCAATGAAAATAACTCGAAGCGGCTGCCGCTAAGAATAGTAAGGCGCCTTTTAAAATATTTCTTACTTGTAAGGATATAGGTCATATAGTCTATAAATAAAATACAGAACGTCCAAAACGCCAGCCAGATTCAATCAAGGATTTATAACATAATCACATCATCTACAGATTTTAGATTAATGTCGGAAGCTAATTTAATGAACTTACAAAAAAACAACAGTTATATATTTAATTAATGCTCATTTCCAACGTCCTTAATTTTGTTTCATGTATTTTACAAAGCACCAATTTACAATGATATTGCAAGAAGCTTTAAAAGGACAAATAATGAAATTGTCCTTCGGACGAGGAGAACTGATGGACGGGTAATTATGAAATATAGAACCACCCCTTTAATATGGAGTTGTCCCTCATTGATCCAACTCGCAGACTGTCGTCCGCTGTAGCTCAAAACTGGAGGATAGACAACTCACTTTTACCGTAACATAAAATAAATAATAGCTAAAAATTAAAAAAAAAATTGTACGTATATGGATATTGCGGAAAGTAAAAATAATAAGTTATAACAAACGGAATCGTAATCATTATTTTATCCGGGCGAATAAGATTTACTGCCGACGTAAGAATTTCTTTTTAAACTTCGCTTTTATGAGCGTTTCTATTTTCGGCGATTTCATTGATGGGAACGCGCGCTATTTCGTATGCGAAAAAATCTCGCTTCAATACTTTCCATGTGGAAATCCAGCATTCCGATCAATATTTACTTTGCAAATATTCTCAATGCAGAAAGTGCTGATGTTCTTTTTCCTTTCCTTCTACCAGCAAAATTGTGCAAATCATATTCGTCATATTCCATTATAGTTGACGAAGTACATTGATTTATCGATTACTTGTTAAAGGACGGGACACGGGAACCCAATACATCTCGTTGCTCTTGCTTGAAACGACGGATCGATTCACTCAGAAAATATTAAATTGTCGCACGTTACTTCATCCTGTGAGACCACGAAACGGAGGTAACCGTCCTTCCCCCTCACGATAATTATTCACTTGATGTGGTTTAACGGATTAATTATGATGGATGTAAAAGGATTAACACAAATATATATTTAATCCGAACATTAAACCATTCAGTAAATATATTAAAAAAAAATATAAACTTATATATTTTCATAAATTTTTTCGCACTACTACTGCAGTTAATAGCCTGTTGTATGTATTTGTATGCATGTATACAATAAATTATTATAATAAATTGCAACAATAAATTACAAAATAAAAACTCAGTCAATACAATAATAAAAATAAAATAAAAGTCAACTGCTGCAAATTATTATATTTTACATAATAATAAAATGAATTAATTAACATGAATTATAGAATAATTTAAAGAAATTATGTTGAAAATTAAATAAACTAGTCTTTAAAGATTTTTGAATATGTCTTGACGAAACTTAACCTAACATAAGCTTTTGTTGGCGGTTCCTAAACTTCTTCGGTTTGCGGCACTCTTAATATATCAGATTTCCGCGGCGCACCAAGTCAAAACATTGGTCTATCTCAGGGCGTATTCTAATATTTCACAGTTCTCTAATTATATAACATTGATTCATTGTTATTTGTTGTCCAATAAAAACCCGCATTAAACTTAATTTAATGTGGTTACTGAGCTCCCTCTATATTAAGTGCTATTTTTACTTTCTTTGAAATCCATCCATCGACATTTCGATCGGAAATAAATGTAGTTTCTAAAATCACCTTATATTAAGTAAGTATGATTTAGTATTAGAAATTATTAAATTACTTACTACAAGTCTTTAAATGTTAAATAAGTTATTAGTAGTAACGATAGACAACGATGATAACAAAATTTTGATTTGCTGTCACTATTTATGACAAATGTCAAATAATAACGCTCAATTAACCTTACCATCATCAGCATACGTTTCTGAACCGTATCCATCTTGAAGACCGTTTGCCCAGGTGCCTTCGTATTTGGCTGTTGAAGTGTTGGATTGCCGGACACCGTACCGCCCTTTGAATCCCTGGGTCCACTCCCCGCGGTAGATCCATCTTCCACGGGATTCCACACCCAAACCATGTCTTTTGCCGTTCTGCCATTGGCCTTCAAAAGCACTCCCACTAAAACGAAAAGGAAAATCTAATAAGTTCATTTATCCTACGACAAAGCCAAGGCATATTTTTTATTAGCCGATAAATTTGCATCTGGCGAAGTGAGAAAATGGAAAACCGATTGGCACCAACTCCCGTACATTGCCTATTCTCTCTCTCAATACATATATTTCAATCCTAGAAACCTCACTAGAAGGTAGTTCGATGATTAAATTAGTCGTGCCGTGGCCATAAAACAATAAAACGTGCATTCTGTCGCTTCTGTTTTATTATTCGTTTGGCGCAAGACACGAACCTTGAATTGTATTTGATTTAATGCTTTATTAAACTTATCATGCAATCAGATATCGCGGATTTTATCGGTACGCAAACAGCGAATTAATATTAGTCCTCTTGTTATTCTAATTTTGTTATTATTACTTCGATCTCTGATTGAGTTTGCACTGTGCTCGATAAATAATAGCAATTTGTTTAGCGCAGATAACGCTAACGTTTTTAATGGTCCTCTGGCATTTGGTGATACCACGTCTCGCTCGTTTTCGAACGCGAATCCTGACACAAAACATATAAATAGTTGCTGTATTAACTGAAATACCGAAAAAAAAATCTATTATTAACTTCGACTTTTTGGCATAGGTTATCAGCGTTCAGCCTTCGTTAATTATAATGTATAAGAGTATTTAAGAAAGAACAACGGATATAAATAAAAATGGGGAAAAATGTAACTAAGAAGCCGTTTGCTAATAACACAACTGTATTAGGCAATGTACGGGAATTTAAGTTGAAAAAAAGTGTATAAATAAATACACTACAATTTATAAATAAAATATTCTCTTGTAAAAACAACTTGGCACACCTTTGCGATCTATATTTTCAGCAATTAGTTTAACGTAAAAAATATTATAATTTTGTAAGAAACTTTGTTTCAATCTTAAGCTGAGTACTTCCGTATCCTCAAATACCGTGTTCTAAATCCATTTTCGATTTAGGATCTGTTTTTTCAGGTGTTGTTCACATCGGCATTCCGAGTTTAACCTAATTTTAAATATCCTCAAGCAGGTTTATAAAAGGATGCTTGTATTTATTTTAGTATTTATTCCGATTAAATTTAACAGTGACTGCTGAATTCGTTTTAAAAAAAGATAACATTGTATTTTAGCATTTGGCGGATTCGATCTTTTTTGTTTTCTTCACCCACATGATTCGATTCAATATATACTTTAGCTTCGATTTTGTTTTCTTGCGAGCCAAGATATTTATAGCATTTTTTTTATTTTATTTTTATTATATGTAACACGTGTATAAAATCGTCACAGAGATTTATGATTTTATTACTAAATTAAGAAAAGGGAGGTTACATATTCATAACAACTGTGAACGTTTTTGAACAGTATTAAATGATTTGTTGGAATTTAAAATTGAACCTCTGAAATCATTGAACCTCTCTATATATGCGAGGAACGTCCTTCGGCTTACATAAACTTGATGACAGTCATTTAATTAAATAATAAATAATATTTTATAAACATTATTTCATTTTGATAATATGTATCATGTACACTTTAATATTTATGAGTTTTTGACACTTGTTCAAAAGTAGACTTTCACCATTTTAGTATTTCTGCGTGACGAATCAGCGGTCAGCAAATAACAACATACATTATTAATTATTCATTGTGTATCATAGTTACTAAATATTTTGACAATAACAATTTTGTACTTCTGATTGTAAATCTAATGATTTATATATAGTGATATATTATTTAAGTTAGTATACTTGTTTATAAGTTATAAAAGGTCTTTGAAATATATTTAGTGTAACATAATTTTAGTGACAGCGTTATTATAGGATTTCAAGACTGTTAACAACTATAATATATAAGGATGTCGTTTTCTTTATTCTTATTACTTCTAAGAATTTAATTAGTTTATCTAGTCAAATAAATATAGAAACAAAAAGAGTGTCCATCATTTCAGACTTTATAAAAGTTCTTCAAAGTAAATTTAATTATAATACCAGAAACATGCAAATAATAGTATATAAATCAATTATCTGTTTATTAATAAGAAATGAAACGTAAAGAAAATAATTCCAGAAAAATGGGAAATATGTTCCGATATTGTTTACATTGAAAATTATAATATATTATTTTATGCAAATAACATCTTAAATTTTGTATTTATTTGTAAACTTAAATTACTTGCTAAGATTTACACATTCAAAGTTACGGGAATGGAAGCAGTTAAAAAGATAATCACCTATTTTGTAAGCAAAGCTAAAATTATAAGTGTAATTATATTGTATTATTATAACAAATGATAACTTATTCTTTATATATTAAGTACCAAAATAAGTTGATGCAATAATGTAAAAATTTACCATGGAATTGAACCAAATTTCCACTTCTTTTGAATTAAATATGAAAACTTAAATATTATGAATAAGTTTCTCAAGCTATGGCGAAATGACAGCTGTCCACCATATGTCAAAGCGAGGAACTGATAAAGAAATTGTTAGCAATTGTATCGCAATACAACTAGGTTGAGAAACACTGATTTTCAAAATTTCATTTATTTGATATAGAAGTAAACTTTTTTTAATGTTAAATCATTTTAGAATTGCCAGTCCTGGATTTATAGTCTTTTAGTAGTATTCTTTAATCTATATTAAGAATTTGATGTAAACTTGTTGGTTGATCTTTTAAGCTCAATGCAAAGAAATATCTGTATTATTGTTATCGCCAGACAACAAACATAATTATTTTCTTTGTATTCTGGTGTACCGCTTTGTATTTGTAAAATTCTTTTAAAGATGTGTTCATCTGTTGACCTATTTCTGGAAGCTCTTTAAATGTTTTGATTCTCGAATGCATGTTTTTGTAATCTACATCTGTCGTCCTTCCATATTAATCTAAAAAGACAATCCTAACATCTTCAGCGATTATATAAATTAATAGCAGTGTCAATGTGTTTACAAAAATGAGCAACGTTATAAGTTTCAGTTTGGTATTTCGATGCTATAAACTTTGAAGCATTGTTTTCTCGAATTCCCAATAGATGCACTCACCGTTAACCTATTTTTGGAAATTTTCTGTATGCGGTTTGGTTTACCATTTAGTGTTTCTCGAATATCCAGATTCGCTCGCTCTGCGTTGGAATTTCCTTGAAATAAGTTATTGAATGCACGGACGTTTCCTTCGCAGTATATAATTAAAAAAAAAGAAGTCTATTTCGCTTTTAGTTATCTATTTTCGAAATCTAGAGGCAGTGTCAAAACTAAAAAAAGATTTTTTTAAGATCATTATTAAGTGTTAACTGTTGATGCTTTTCATCTATATTAATGAATTGACTGCGAATTTAATTAAATTTAATGTTCGGATCGATTTGGAATATAGTTTTGAAAATAATCTCGGGGATTGAGTGAAACGTAGTAATATATTATAGGAAAGTTGGAACATTTTAGTTTATCCGAGTGATTATCCAATAACTGGGCTTGGCAGGTTTATTTTTACCGAAATCGAGGTCTATATCCGAACGGTCTGTATTCCCCACGGGCGGTGTTTTTATCGTTCTAGCAAAAGTTAAATAGTCGAAGGAAAAAATATATTTATGGGAGAGACACTCGATGTTTACCAGAAATATTCCAATGAATGATGCGTCTTTTTCTTATCCATTCGCCCATCTCCTACATACTGCATTATTGTAATGCTGGTTTAATGCATCCGAGAGGATTGATGCCAAGTGCAATATGCTAAGAATAATGCATAATGGCTGAAAAACTGAGTCGCTCCTCTCTCCATCCGACTTTTATTCGTATGCAAATTATCCTTTGTTCGTATTCAAAACATCGCTTTGACCACAAAATGCACAGGCAATGATTTTAGCATCTTTCTATTGACTAGAATCAAAAGATACAAACCTAAATGTGCTCTGAATTCTAGATAAAATTGCACAATAGATTGTAAAGGATCAGGAATCAACTAATGCCTATTAAAATAAAATGTTCACAACTTCAATTTCATAGATTTATCGATGTAAATAATCAATGACAAATCAAACTAAGCAATTAGTTTAAATATAGACGCAGCCTTTCCTCCTTAAAGTTAGTGATGAATATGAAGTTAAATATTTTGGATAATATAATTGAATATAGTAATTATACAGTACAAAATAATATTATTATATTTGACTTTGCAGTATAAAATTTAATGGTTTTCCTTGTAATTGACCATATATATTATGTGATATTCTATTCCTAATTATTTATTTTTGTATTCATTACTGCAATAAAAATGAATTATACGTTTTTTATAATAATGCTATGAAAGAAAATGAATATTTTGTATTATTACTTATTTATAATTTTTTATTTGTTAATTTTGAAAAAAGGAATAAATGATAAAATATTTTAATTACAAATGCGAGTAATGAAAAGTGTAAAGAAAATGATTCTTTATAGTTGATATTTATGAAACTTTGTCATGACAACAAATATTGGTCACGTTGACAGCAATAGTTAGTTCACTACATAATTTGGTCCAGATTAATTGCATCTTCTACATCGAGATAAGTATATTATAAAAAAAACTGGAAGTTGAGGAAGCTAAAACGTAACAAATCATTATGCGTTTAATAAACACCTTGAACTGGTTCTCAAGGTTCCAGAAGAAACAAATAAGAACAGTGACTACTAAATAAGCTATAAAGAAGGCTGCGATTTCTAGTTACAAAGATGTTTTACAGTGTATTCAGCAAATATCGCTTCAAAGTTTTTTTTTTAAATCATCTATATCTCCTATAGAATTATCGTATTGTTCAGACCATAAGATTCACCATTTTATATAGAAAAATCGACTTATGTCCGAAGGTAATAAAATATTCTTTGTAAAAATTGTCCTAAAATGGTGCGTCTTAACGGACCATATCTATGGTCCGAAAAATACGTTAATTCTATTCTATTTTTTTGTATATATCAAAATTGGTAAATTTTATTTTTATTGCTCACAGTC